GAGGTACCAGGATCGCAGCGCACAGATGCTATAATCACAGACATGGAAAAACAAACGAACACTCTTACAAGTAGTGAAAGGATAAAAGCGGGTGCCTGAGGACAAAGTTATTGCACAGCAGTCAATGGCATCGTATCTACAAAGAACAGTGTGAAGATACACTGAAGAAAAGACCTCATTACAGTAGCAGCAAAACCCACTAAACACCTGGGAATAAACCCAACACACGCAAGGCAGATAAAAGAAAACTTAGTATAACATAAAAGTAGCCCATCAAATTAAAGGGGGAAATGGTGTATTCAATAAACGGTATTTTCCCTTAGGGAAAATATATATAAAAGGAAAAAGAAGGGGCGCCTGGGTGACTCAGTGGGTTGAGCGACTGACTCTTGATTTTGGCTCAGGTCACGATCTCCGGGTTGTGAACCCAAGTCCCATGCGGGGCTCCTCACTCAATGTGGCATCGGCTTGAGATTCTCTCTCTCCCTCTCCTTCTGTCCCTCTCCCCACTCACTCACGCGTGCATGCACTAGTGCTCTCTCGCAAAATAAATGAATACATCTTTAAAAAATTTTAAAAAAAGGAAAGAAAAGGAACAAGAAAACAGGAGGAAATTGTCACCTGGGGACAAGAGGTCTAACTACGACACCAAGCGCGAAACCGGAGGAGACTGAGAGTACGATGCGTAAAAAGCCATTTTAAAGCTCTGCGCGGCCAGAAGCCCACGAGCGAGGCTGAAGAAACAGTAAGCGGGAAGCGGGCCCGCGGCTCCCGCCCCAGCCGGCTCCGCGGAGCGCGCCCGCGCACTGAGGAAACAGGCAGCGATGTGACGGAAGCGCCGGCAAACGACGGCGGCGGACCGAATAACTGACGAAGTAAAAGAAAACAAAAGTAACCTGAGATTCCACTTTTCACCTCTCAGGTTGTCAAAAACCAAAGAGTTTGGTAAAACGGGTACAAGGCTGTGGAGAATGAAGACAGTCCGCATAGCACTGGGGGAGGCGTCACTTAGTCACCCGGCAGCACCTACAAAATCAGAAATGCGTGTGTCCTCCGGCCCAGCAAGGAGACCTACAGGCGGACATCGCACAGCCGGTCCCGGTGCCGTTCGCTGCGACAGCATTTGAGAAAGCAAGACACAGGACACAAACGAACGTGCACCCACAGCAGATGGCGGAAATCGGTCCCCGCCCCCCAAGGCGGACCGCTACACAGGGACCGAAGAGAACAGCAACGGTGCACGTGTTGACATTCAAAGATCACCCCATAAAGCCGCACCACGAGCGGGATGCAGCACAGGGTCCTGTTCTAAGAGAGGGCGGTCGGCCGGCAGTGTACACGGACTGGTTTGCTCTTGCACGGATCGGGTCTAGAAGAGCAAAGAGACCAAAGACACTGCTGGCCTTTGGAGGGGCAGCTGAGGGGCTGAGGGAGAGGCTCCAGGAAGCGGAAACAGGTTGGGTCAGATCCTGGAGGGTTTGCAAGCCACTGCAAGGAGCTTCTACTCTATCCGGAGTGCAACAGGAAGCCATGGAAGGTTTAAGCCTAAGAGTTATGGTCTAACCTGTGTTTCTCAAAGGTTAGCCTGGCTGCTGTTGTCGAATGTATGGGAAGGGAAGGAAGCGGTATCTGTTGAAATCACAGATGTCCACGGAGGTGGAGGTGAGTTAGTGTGGCTGAGGCACAGGGTGGTGGCATCTGGGTGGGGCTGGAAAGAGGCAGGCGGATCCGAATGTATTCTGGAGATGGAAACAGCAATAAAGGGGGACTGAACGAACGTGGCCGCTCCACAACTTAGGTTGGTAAGCAGAGGGGCCGTTTGCTTCCACGGGAGGACAAAGAGCCGGCAAAGAGCAGGCTGAAAGGGCGAGCACATTGGGCTTGAAGTGCAAGCCATCCGGGTAAAGACGCCAAGGAGGCAGGTGGATACAAGAATCCAGACTCTGGGGAAAGACTGTGTCCAAGACAAAATGGAGGCCCTGCTACAAAGCAGATGGAGTTTAACACCTGGGAGCGTCTGAGTGCCCTTGGGGTCGGGGGGATAGAGAGAGACCCCAGACCATGTCCTGGGAAAGATCAGCTTCAGAAGACGACAGAGGAAGAAGAGCTTGCAAAGAGGATAAACCAGCCAGAGAGGTGGAAGGGTTGTACCTGCATGTCAGTGGTGGGCACAAGCACACGGACGGGCACGAAGTAAGGCTACGAGGGGCTGGGAGGGTTGTGACAAGGGGTGAAGTCCTCCAGCGCAGCCCATGGGACCACATGCGCTCCGGACTGGTACTGAACGTGAGGGTACAGGCGGGAAGGAGGAAGGGATGCAGCGGCAAGTATGTTTCTAGATAGGAGGAAGACGTGATGAAACTGGCGAAGCCCCCAGGACGCTCTTGGCAGGATGAAGTGTCCAGGATACCTAGTCCACCGGCCTCATGTTGCCAGGAGCAAAGGATACAGGGATGCCCACATGCCTTAGGGGAAGATAGGAGGGTTTGGGCCTCCGCGCATCTCCGGAGGCTGTCTTCTCACCCTGATGCTCAAGCCAGACGGGGACAGAACAAGACCAGAAAGTCACGGAGATTCTAAACAAGCCTCAGCCGACAGGAACCAGCAATGAACACGAAGAGGAAACATCAGCAGATTCGGTCCCGCCAGTCCCGAGCGCCTGCCAGGTGCCAGGCGGTGTTCTCCGCTCCGGGTATACCCAGCGGGTCGGGCTGCAGAGAACCCCCGCTTTGAGGGAAATCCGAAGTTGGGGGGAACGCGAGGGAGAAAACCGAAAACCAAAGAGGCCGGACGGAGGCACACCGCTTAGGGCGGGGACGTGACTTTGGCCGGCGCAGGGCACCGGTGAGCGCCGAACAAACACGGGACTAAGTTCTCGCAGATGCGGGTACTCGAGCTCCACGACCACGGCGCTGCAGCGGCGAGGACGCACCGTTCTCCCCGGGGACGTCCATCTCCGCTTCTCCTGGCGGGCGGGCTGGCGGCGCGTCCTCTTTCCACGGCGACGGCTGTCAGGGAGTCACTGCGGGGAGGGAGGACAGGGCCGGCCGGTAAGCAGGTGCGGGGCCCAGGCCCTCGGCGCCCCCACCCCGGACCCCGTGAAGGCCGGCGAGCGCTGCTGCAGCCCCGACCCGGACGCAGGGAGAGGGCGGCCGCCGGCAGGCTGGGAGGGGAATGGCGGCCGGAGGCCACGGGAGGTGCCGCCGGGACCCTCTGCCTCGCACCCCCGGGGCCGCGCGCCCCCAAGCCGGGAGCTCCGGAGCCCTGATCTGGACGGAAGTCCACGGTCGACCACAACGGAAGTCCCCGCGCTCGCGGCAGCGCCACCGAAAGCGCGAGAGGACGCCGCCCGACCCACGGCGCCCCTCACCCGAGCGACGGCGACACCCGGCGGCCCCACCCCGGCCCGGGGTTTAAACGCGGCGCACAGGCGCGGCGCGGTCCGCCGATTGGCCGGTTTGAAGGCGCTGCGCCACGACGCCGCGCCCGGCGCATCCTGGGGGCTGGGGGCGGAGCCGCCGGGAGGAGGGGCGCGGCGCACATGCGCACTGCCTCCGCGTGCGGGTGGGCCGGGCAAGTCCCGGTTCCGCCGGCGCCGGCGGCGGGTGGGCAGAGGCGGGCGGGGGCTTCTTTGGAGCGTCGTGCCGGGTCCCCGCAGGCTTGGCGTCAGGGTAGCCGCGCGTGCCGAGGGACGTGGCTCCGACCCCAGCTTTTTGTCTGTACACGCAGGGGCTTCCGTTGCCCGCGAAGCGTGTCGGCGGGAACCGAAGTGGGGGCGCGCTTGTGCCTCGTGCGCCCCGCTTGCCGGTCGGCGCCAAGCCCCGGGCCCGCCCGCACCAGCACACAGCCCCGCCGCTGCTGCCCGCGCGGCAGGAGAAGCCGAGGGTGCCGGGGGACCGTGGTGAGGGTCCGAGCTGGCCGGAGGCGTGGTGAAGCCCGCCCTGCGCTTTACACCCGCCGGGGAGCTGGGTCTGTTCTGAGAGCAAGAGGCGGGGGCGGGTCGGAGGGGTGCGCAGGGCGCGGTGGCTCGGGGGTGCAGTCCGCACGGGGAGCAAGAGCCCTGGTCCGAGCGACGCGGAGCACTGGCCAGTGAATAGGTCCGTCCGCAGCAGCGTCAGACTGACCGCGCTGCGCCGTGGACTGTAAACCAGGAGTAAGTAACGCCCCGCTCGTGGCCGGGAGGGTGAGTCGAGGGGCTCCGTTCGGTACACCGTGTCAGGAAGCTGTGCTCTGGGTATGTGGGACTGGAGGCTGGGGGAGGATGTGGGAAGGAGGGGCCTCGGAAGGTCTGAACTCCAGAGGGAGGAACACCATTTTCAGGGGTCATAATGAGTTGTTTATTTGGGGCAGACTGGGTGGAGAGCTGTCCAGGGGGCAGCCTTCCCAGGCCCAGGACCTACGCCAAGGCTTCTATACTGGCTGGCATCTGGACTCCACGTTGTCTCTGGCTTCCCATCACCCACGCCAATCACCCTGTGTGGTTGTGCTCCCTTTCCATTGCTCCTGATTCCAGCTCCCAGTGAGACCGTGAGCCCCTAAAAGGCATGGCAGGGGCTCGGCTATGTGATGTCCCCCAGCCTTACGCAGCCCAGCCATGGACTCCAGGCAAGAGCTGAGAGAGTGGGGGCTGGATATTGAAGGGGTAGGAGGTGGAGAGAGGGGCTGGGGGGCAGTGTCTAGCAGTTTGGACAGAGCCCAGCCTGACGTCTGCATCCCCTTATCTTGTGCTGGCATCCCCAACACCTCTTTTCTATCAAAGGACTCCCTCTGTAGCCTTTGGCTTCCCACTGCACGCGGATGTGCTGGGTCCACCAAGACCTCGCCTCCACCACCTGAGTCTCTGTCCATGGGGTCCCTTCTGAATTCCATTGTCTTTTGGCTTTTTTTTTTTTTTTTTTAAGATTTATTTATTTGAGACAGAGAGAATGAGCATGATCAGGAGGGAGAGAATCTCAAGCAGACTCCACACTGGGCACAGAGCCTGACACGGGGCTCCATCTCACAACCCTAAGACCACGTCCCGAGCTGAAAACAAGAGCTAGACCCTCACCAACTGCGCCACCAGGGCGCCCCATGAATTCCATTGTCTTTTGCTCAGGTTTCTGCTTAACTGGAGAAGAAAAGTGGTACAAGGCACACCCAGCTGCAGGTATCTGTCAAGAGCCTTTGGGTTGTAAGAAACACAAAACCAGCTTCAGGCTGGCTTTAGAAAGAGGAGAATTAACTGACTTGAGGAACCGGGAAGTCCAGGAAAGAGGGGCTCGAAGGAGGGCACTGGGTTAGGTCATCTCCCAGCTGCCTCTCTGGGGTCCTGCTCACCCTTGAGCACGCTGGCTTTGCTGGGCCCCCCAGCCCAGGAGCTCCAGGCTTCCCACCACTTAGCAGGGCCTCCTGAGGGTAGCAGCTGGTTTGGGGGTGCCCGTGCCCTGTCGATGGTCCGAAGGCCTCTGTTTGCCTGACTCAATCACAAGGCGACTGCAACAGGAGGTTGGGAGGGTGCTTGGCCCGGATCCCCACAGCCCTGTGGGCACCCTCGCCAGCCTACAGTGGGTTCGAGGAGGGCTTCCCCAAGGAGGGATCAGGGTTCCTGGCTTCACTGGCCAAGTTGTATCCTCCTTGGAACCAGGAGAGGGGAGGGCAGATGAAATGTGGGCAGGTAACAAGAGGGGACAGCTCAGGATGGAAGGGTAGGCTCCCCTCTGGCCTGTGTCCCTAGCTCCTGGATGGACAGAGCACCTCTCTCGAAATCCTATTGTAACTACCCATCTTCTGGACTCAATGTCCCGCCCCCATGCCCAAGTTCAAGGAGAAGCCTGTCTCCCCAGGACCCAGCCTGGCACGTGGGAGATGATGAAAGGTGCCGCCAGCACAGGCAAAGGAACCAATTAACTAATTTATTTTAATGTCAGAAATTTGTCTAATCAGTTTGGAGGCCTCCACTGCCCCTCCCTGAGTCCCTATCTAATCTCAGCCTACACTGAAGGAACCTGAGAAACATCTAGAGGTGGGGATCGCCCCTCACAAGTACATTCCAGTGAAATCAGCAGCTTGCTCAGGAGTGTCTCTGGGGCCATGTTAAGATGGGGAAACAGAAAACTGGCTCAGATCTCAGTAAAGCTCCATGGACTTTGGTTTTTGCCAGGACAGGGCAACCCTAAGTTCAGTCCACAACCCCCAGAAAGTGTGCCCGCTCAGTGCATGTGCGCCCCTGTGATTCAAGTCCTAGTGGGCAAAGGAAGCCACATACCCGAGGTCCCTTAATTGGCACCACCGGAGCCCCCTGGGGAAGTCCACGGACTTCTCCAGAGACAGGAGAGGGCCACCCCACATGCCTGTGCTGCTTTGGGGGGGGTGGGTGCCACAGCTCGGGGGTCCAAGGTGAATCTCAAGGCCTCTGGTAGCTGTGACCCTGGGCAAGTCACTTCCCCCCATGGGTGCTCTCACCCAAAAGATGGGACAACATATCTAGAATTTGATGGGGAAGACAAAAGGAGAGGGCTTATCCCAGGGGCAGCCTCAGGGGCGAGAGTGTTCCCCAGGGGAGGACTCCCCTCCCCCAGCCAAGCCAGCCACCCCAACCCAGGAGGTGTAAGAGTCCCCTGGGAAAACGGTTTGCCAGGCAAGTGGCAACAGCGCTGCCCACTTTGGCTCTAACTGCTGGCACATGCGCCTTGGCCCTTGGCCCTTGGAACAAAGGGTTCCAAGATTCTGAGTCATGTCTAAAATTGATTTGTGTCCCTACTTCCCATAATGTTGCTGGTTACAGGGCTTTCTGCTTAAAGCCACAAATTACTCAACAGCCCTAACTAACAGACTCTAGCTGCTTCTAACCTCAGGGTTCAGGGGCCAGCTGAACCGACGCTGGGGAGGGGGCCAGGTCCAGCTCATTGGAGGAGGTGGACGGCAGCGGCCTTTCGGATGAGCCGCTGGGTCAGGGGTGAGTTGGGCTTCAAGGCGTCACGCTCCGTCAGAAGGTTCCTGTGGAAACGGACAAGGTCTGTGATGGAACCTCCTAGAAGCGGGGGGGCCCTGTGGTCCCTGGGCCCCAAGAAAGGACAGGCAACTCGGGCTGGGGCTGAGATGGGAAGAGAGGGGACAGCATCACTGAAGAGGGGATGTCCAAGGGGCCCCACCTTCCCTGCCAACCTGAGGTGCCAACTTGCACCCACGTGGGGGCCTGGAGCTCTGAGCAGTGTGACCCCTAAAGAAAGGTGTGTGGCTGCGGCAGATGGCCACGGAGGGTGAACAGTGAGGGGCGTGTGTCTGGGATGCGTCAGCGATCCAGCCAATTCAGAGCGCCCAGAGCGCGCACAGCTGTTTCATTAGTGCTGAGAACACCTGCTCTGCTCAGTTTGGAGACACTGTTGGGACAGTTGGGCCTGACGCAGCTTAAACCCTGGGCCTTTCTGCCTGACCTCCAGGGCTCAGCCTAGGGTCACCCCGGACTTAACTGGGTCTCCTGACCCCTATTCTACCCACCAGGTACCCCACAGCCCCTCCCTGTCCCCTTTCCCATTCGTGTTCCATTGGGGTGCAGGGGACCCACAAGGAGACCGGAGTGCCGCATGCAGGGCAAGGTGAGCTGGGGCGTGGGAGCTCCCAGGCTGCTGGTGAGGGCTGGGCTTTGCAGCACTTTCTAATTCAGGTGCCCCCGCCCCAACACCCCTAACCCTCCAGCTCCTGCTCCTGCTAACCTGACCACTGCGCCTGGTCAGATCTGCTGGTTTGCGGGCCGCCTCTCAACTGTCTCTTCTTCAGGGCACCCTCCCTCCCTGAGTCCCGGCCAGCTCAGCCTCCAGAGCAAGGTGTCGCGGTCTGCACCCAGGGCAAGTTGATGTGTGTGTGTGTGTACACGAGATAGTTGCTAGTGTTCCCACATGAGACGTACGCTTCACATGCCAGGCCCTGGGTTGGCCTGCTCCCTCCCCCACCTCCTGGAACCCAGCAGAGCCCGTGAGAAAGGGCATCCCAGCAGAGTGCGCAGCATGTGCAAAGGCCCAGGCCCCTGAAGGAGCAGGACATGTTGGGTAACTACAGCTCAGCGTGGCTCGGCTGGGAGGGCTAGGAAGGGCAGGAGGGCCAGCCTGGGGGTGGGTGGACCCCAGTGGTCAAGTCGAGTGTGCTAACAGGGAAAACCAAGCGCCCCATAGCCTCACGTCCTTGCAACCTCAAAGGTGGGAACCGTCTCCAGCAGAGGGAGGTGGGAGTCTCAGGGCAGGCTGGAAGCCCCTGGGGAGACCCCCAAGTGAGATGGGCAGCTCTGCTCAGAGATGTCCCCAAGCCTGGCATGGGTGTGAGCGAGGAACTCACCGCGCCACGTTCTTGTGGACACCAGATGTGCAGTTCAAGGCCGCATGGATCAGCAGCTGGTTGAAGACGTCTCTCTGAGAAGTCAGTGGGGCAGGTTAGGCTGGTGTAACATGGGATGAGGGATGGGAGCCCCCATCCCACCGCGGGCAGGCCTGTTCTCGGGAACAAACTTCCCGGGTGTGGGAAAGACGAGGACACCCGTGCTCGTGGGTGCTGACCCAGAGAGAGGCCACCAGCAGCGGTGCAGCCTAAGGCTGGGGGCTCACCTGGGCGTTGCTGCCCCCAATCTGGATGATCCGGTAGCGGATGGGAAGGAGCAGTTCCAGAACACGTTCCGGGTTCCCGTTCTCAGCCTCCACCAGGGCCTGGCACAGGGGCAGCCCCACATCACGGGCCAGGAGGTGCTGGCAGTTCTCCCCGGGAGCCCTGCCAGCCAAGGAGGTGCCCTCAGTTACTGGCGGGACACCTTACACTGCCTGACTCAGGTGTCCTGAGGGAATGGGCCGCTCTTCCTCAGCCCAGCATCCCTGTCTCTGTGCCCGACACAGCAGGTGCTTGGGTCAGTGGTGCTGACAGGAGAAGCGGACAGGAAGGGGGAGAACAGGGTTCTCTCGACCCTGGCTTGAACAACCCTTTCCACAGGGTTGGACTGTGCTGTTGGGGGACCTCGGGCAGGTCCCCCAACGTCTGGCCTCAGTTTGCTCATCTGTAAAGTGTGGGTACAGTGCCAACCTCACAGGGCCGTCAGGATTGCACACCGTGCAGGTAAAGCCCGGCTCTGGAGTTGGCCCCACGCTCAGGCACACAGCTGTCAAAGCCCATGTCTCTTTGCTGGCCAGCAGGTGGGGGTTGAGCTGGGTCACGGGGACAGTGGGCATGGTGGCAGCAGCCTGCTCCAAGCCTGTCTTAAAGAATCAGGGGGGCCTGGGTGGCTCAGTCGCTAAGCATCTGCCTTTGGCTCAGGTCATGATCCCAGGGTCCTGGGATCGAGCCCCGCATCGGGCTCCCTGCTTGGTGGGAAGCCTACTTCTCCCTCTTCCACGCCCCCTGCTTGTGTTCTCTCTCTCTCACTGGCTTTGTGTGTGTGTGTGTGTGTGTGTGTGTGTGTGTGTCAAATAAATAAAATCTTGAAAAAAAATTAAAAATAAATAAAAAGCAAGAATCAGATCTTGGAGTGCCCAGTGGGCTCCCCAGGCCTTCCCGGGCTGACATGACCGCTGCTGGGCTGCGGACACCTTGCCTGAAGCTGCCTCCCCAGTGGAGGCCCATGGATCCTGCAGCTCCGCTCTGGGGGGAGGGGACGGGCAGGCGGCTGGGTTGGTGGCCAGCTCCAGCACCGCCCCCAGGACAGCACCAGGGGTCACGGCTCCCACAGCTCCAGCCCTCTGGGTGGGAGACGTGTGGCTGCTTCCCTGGCCTCTCCTGGGATGGAAACTGGCTCCCACCCATGCCAGGAATCGGGCCAGGGGGCTGTGTGGCCACACCACCGCACCTCCCTCTCTGCCCAGCCTGCCTCAGCAGGCACTGTCCCCAGTTGGCAGATGGGAAGACTGAGGCTCAGAGCAGAGAAGCACTTTGTCCAGGATCTCAGAAGGTACGCAGCAAGGCTTTCTGGTTCGAGAGCCTCACCATGGCCCCCCCCCGTGGGAGGCAGCACCCACGACACTGAGGCTCCCACCCCCAGCGGGGCAATGGAAAGGTGACTCTGGCTCTTAGGAGAACAGCCATGTGCTTGCGTGATATAGCTGGTGGGGACACACACCTGTGGGACACGTGTATGACAGCCACCCTCCATGAGCATCCCCGTGGCAGCGTTCACCAGTGGGGCTTCCAACCCCAGCCTCCTGGGCCGGTCTGGCCGGGGATGGAGCAGACATCAGCCTGCCCCCAGCACCCCATGGCCCTCCCAGCGGGTCCCTGGACCCTCCGCATACTTGCTGGCATCCTGCAGGCTGGTCAGGAGCTCCTGGGTGGTCCCGGAGTCCCGAGCTCCCAGGGATGCCATCAGGAAGTGTGCGTCGTTGAACAGCAGGATGTGGTCCCGGCTGTGCTTCTGGGTTATAGGCAGGATATCCTGCCACCGCTCACCCACAGACACCCCTGAGGGCACAGGGAAGAAACCCGCAGGCCTGGTGTCCCATGTGAGCATGTCCTACGCATGGGCCTCCTAAACCCCCATGTCCCCCAGAGGCCCTTGTGTTCCAGCTGGGGAGGCTGGGCAGGGGAGCGGGGCTGGCCGGTGGCCTTTGGCCTCACACAGAGGCCTTTGGGCCCCGTTTATGTTAACTTCGTTTAATTATAAATGCAGTAGATGCTTGCAATAGGAAAAAAAAAAAAAAACCTACTGAAGGGTATTGAAGTTTCTGGCCCCTTGGACGAAGCCCAAAACCATTTTTGAAATTCGTCGTGGGATTACCGTTGGCATGGCACCTGCTACCTAATAAAAGTCGGCAGAGTTAATAACATTCTCTCACATTTGTGTCGGGATTTCTCAGCGCTGGACGGCCCCTACTTCTGCTCTGCTCCCCGGCCCTTTCCCCCACCTCGCATCCCTCCTGACTCCTCTGAGTTACTACCTCCTTCCTACCTCTGGTGGGGGTGACCCCTATGGTAGAAACATTGCCCTTGACCTCTGTCTCTCAGGCAGCAAATCAGACAGGTCTCTTGAGTCTCTGCTCTGCTTGGTGAAGGATCAAGGGCCTTTCCCTTCCCTCCACTGTGCCTGCCAGCCTCTGTACCCGCAGGCCTCCCTGGGTATGTGCCTGGGGGCACGAGGCTTCAGGGTCCCCAGAAAGCTCCAGGCGGCTTCAGAAAGTGCGGGCTTCGGCCTCCCTGAGCTCAGCCCCATGAGGCAGATGGGAATCCTGCCCAGCCCTGCTCTAGAAGGCTCCCTGCAGACCCAGATCAAAGTCAGACTCTTCTCCGGCCTTCCCAGCACCTGGGCTCCAGCCGCCCGCCTCTCATCCTTGCCCACACTGACCCTGTCTTTGGTTCCTCACCCGGTAACAGGCAGCTGGTTTGTGTGTCCTGGGGGCCCTGGACAGGCTGCTTTCCGCACATCACATCCTCTCCCACCTCTGCCAAGCGAAACCCTTCACGGGCCTCATGGCTCACATTTAACTCCCACCGGGAGGCCTTCCTGGAAACAGCTTGCCCTGCACAGGCACTCATCCCCACACTGTCCCGCCGGCCCAGGGCCTGGCGTGAGTAGAGCTTTGGCTCTGTTGGGCCTGAGGGAGAGGGGAAACCGCCTGGCACCCGGGCTGTTGGCCAGAAGCACCAGAGCTGTGGTTGCAGCTATCCAGGCTGCCTGCAGAGCGTGGGGTGACGGTGTTGAGAAACCTCTCTGTCTGAAATCCCAGGGAGTTGAGGAAATGTCACTCTCTTATACTAGGAAAGGAGGCAGCACACAGAGCCAGGGGCCAGGTGCCAGCCGTGCTCTGCCGGGCTGGCGGGCAGGCGGCGAGAACGGCATGGACCCTGAGCTCGCGCACCCAGAGGTGATGGCACCTGGAAAAAAGGGGGGCAGAGGCTAGGGCCCACTGGCTTCCGGCTGGCTGGAAGGTGGCTGCAGAGCCGGGACCCAAGGCCACACAAAGGCAAGCCGCTCGGGTCTGCGGCAGGACCTGGAGTGGCTCAGCAATGAGTTCCTTCCCCTCGTTCTGAGGGAGGGAAGAGGGCAGAGGAGCCCAAGGGGAGGGTGCAGGTCTGTACCTTCCATCCGCAGCCGGTACAGCATGGAGCAGCTGTCCACCACGTCCAGCATCGCCCCACTGGCCTTCAAGCTGGGGAAGACCTGGAGGACAAAGGTGGTGGGCAAGTAAGGGGCCACAGGGATGGGCCGAGTGTGGGGCCTGCAGAGAGCCAGCCCTCAGCCAACAGCATCCACCGCCATCACCCTGCACCCTCAGCTTCCAGAACCAGCCCGTTGCCCAGGTGTCTGGCCGCGCCAGGTGCCAGACCTGAAGTCAGGCCCCAGCCCTGAGCACAGGCCAGGCGCCGGCACCTGTCCCCTCCCGACCCTGGCCTCAGACCATGCTGGCGGGTTCTGCATTCAGCTGACCTGTCCCTCACGGCATGGAGGGAGCCGACCTTCTGTATCACCCCACAATCCTGACAGAACTCGAAGGGAGGAATCAACTGACACTTTGCTGCCAGTTTTCCTCGGGGTTAGAGGCCTGGGCCCCAAACATTTTTGTGACATCCCCCTGCCCCGCAGCCTTCTATTACAAAGCATGCAGGGGGGTTCCCAGGAGCTGCAGTCAGCCTTCTTTTCTCTTAAAAGCTGCCTGGGGGCTGGAGCAGGGGGAAGGGGAGTCGTGCTCACTGGGCCTGGGACTGCAGTCTGTTCCAGAGACGGACTGTGGGGCTGGTGAGCGGCCTCAGTGCCACGGAACCCTAGGGTCAAAAACGGTCTCGGGGCAAATTTTGCGTGTGTTTTACTAAAAAGAAAGAAGGAAAAATTCCTGTGGGCAGATCATTGGTTGTACCAAAGACGAGCCGTGTAAAAGGACTACAGAAAATTCCGGGATTTCAGAAAAGACCAACTTAGCTGTGCCATTGTACCGGCGCCCGCCGGGACCCAGTGAACGCCTTCACCCTGTCCCAGCGGCGCCACTTGGCAAGAACGAACCCGAGGTCTCGCACCAGAAAGGAGTGTCTCTCCATCTGCGTTTCTGGCTGAGATGGTGCTGACGGACTCAACTATGTGCTAGAGACTAAAAGGCCAACGTCTGCCATCCACTGGGTTGGCTGCAGAAGTGGACTTACGTGGTTATCGTAGATGGTCAAGGCGGCCTCGTATTCGCCCTGCAAGGATCAAGTGGGCATGATCAACATGGGACAAAGGTCAAAGGTTACACCGCGAGAGGGGCTGGAGAGTCCATCCCCTGCCCACCACCAGCACCCTGAATGAGGGGATGGGCTGAGCTGCCTAGAGGGTCTGAGGGTCAATGAGCAGAAGCCCCTGTGCTCCGGGAGAGGCGGCGCTGGCCTCTGCTACCCAATGGACGTTTCTGTTGAGGCCTGAATGTCCCCATGGCGCTTGTCGATGTTACAAGCTTTCTCGTGTACTTCTTCTAGTCTTTTCTTCTCTCTATTTTCCTTTCAGTACCTTCAGTGGGGACCACTGCTCTCCTCCAGACCCTGAGCACAGCGGGCCCTCACCTTCCAAGCGTCTCTCTTTGGACTTCCGGGGAGCTTCTAGATTTGTCTCTGTGGTAAGCACCATGGCAAGAAGGTGCTGAGTCCCTGGGATCAAGGGTGCTACCCCCGACCCTCACTTCCACTGGGACAAACCCTTTGGAGGGTGTCATGTCTCCTTCGGGTATAATCTGGGGGGTTGGGGCTTGGCTGTTCACTCCAGCAGCAGAGGACTCTCAGTCTAGATCGTCTCCATAGATAATGTACAAGATACATAATTTCCATGTCCAGACAGTGAAAAATGCCTAAGGTCATTTAAGCCTGAAAAGTTATTTGAAAACGTGAATGCTCTGTTACAACCAGACATTATCTAAATGTGCAAACGCAAAAAAATTATCCCTGGGATACAGCAAGAGGTAGAAAGAGACTGATTTCACTGGACCTCTAGACAGGATAAGAGCGGGCCGTCTTACCTTCTCAATCAGATAAAGAGCCCAGTGCCAATAGTTGTGACAAGCAAGCATATCAGAGTCCTGGGGAAAGAACGAGAAAATTCGAGAAGCTGACAGCCCGTGGGACCGAAATTACTGGCTGTGGTTTTGTGACGAGGCCGAGCCCCTCCCTGCTCTTTGAGCTCAGGAAATGTCTCCTGAGGCCAGGTTGCCTGGGCCCAGCTCGGAGGGACTGGTGACATGTCGGCCCCACAGCTGGAGTGGGAGGAGCAGGGCCGACATCCAGGCAGGCCTCAAGCCCTCCTTATGCACGGAGTAGAGAAAACGGGCGATACATCCATTGCACAAATGGGTGCAGAGCCCCGCTGGGTGTCCAAGTCCCAAGAAAGCCATGAGGATCAATAAGTCCCGGGCCAGACGCCCTCCAATAAGAGGGGCGGGGTTAACATCTGGACAGTTACTACTGGCACCCGTTCGGCCCCACCGTGGATGCCGGCCCTTCCTTCTGAGGCCACTGCAGATGCTTCCTCCCCTCCCTGGACGCTACCTTCCCTTTCTTGGAAAAAGAAACTGACCATGCCCCTTCCCTGGCCCACATCCACCCCGCACCTGTGCTTGAGGACATCCAGATGCCTTTGTCTCCTCTTCCTTCCACCCTGGCAGGCCTTAATGGCTGTGCTCGATCTGGTCCTTGGCTGGGACACCCTCCATCTCCCCACCTTTACCTGGCAAACCCTTACCATCCTTCCATACTAAGCTCAGTGTTTGCCTCCTCCAGGAAGCCTTCCCTGACCACTTCCCCCTCAAGTCCAATGGGGTCGAATGCCTCCTCTGAGTTTCCACATCCCTGAGAGTGCCCCCATCATGGTGTGGTACATGGGCTGCTAGAAAACTGCTCACCCCACTTGACTGAGCCGTTAAGGACATAGAAGTCTGGGCTGGACTCTCAGTGAGGTGTCCAGGGTGGCACAGTCTGAACTCCAGTCTGGGGCAGGAGCAGGAGGAAAGGGAGCGCCAGGTCACAGTATCAACCGCAGGGCTGTAATGCCAGGCCAGAGGCTGCCCGAAGCCACCACGGGGGACAGATGCAAACATCAGGGGACTAGCCAGCTTGGACTGCCTCATTTTACACATGCCTGGAACCAACACCCATAGGAACTCATATGGGGCCAAGGGCTTCATAGTTGTTACAATAGCAGGTGTACCAAGGAGGAAACAAAGCTCAGAGGGTCACTTTCTTGTCCCAGGGTCCAACCAGACCTCAAACACCCGTAAAATCACAGCATCTGGGGGAGGGACATGAATGGGACACACCAGAAGGCCCTGGCCAGGCCTTCCCTGGGCTTCCTCGGGTCTGCCTATGCAAGCCCCTGGCCCTCAGCAGGAAGGGTGGCCACACAGTTGCGCCCCGACCCCAGACCCACTGGTCTCGTAAGAGCTAGCAGTATCTGCCTGGGGGAGCCTGAGGGCAGGACTGCACCCCACTGTCCTCCTCCCCAAGCCCTGGCTCAGGCTGCCCCAGTGCCTCTCCCGTCCCTAGTGTTTGTGGATCCTCAGAAAGATCTTTGTGTGAACCTCCCAGGATCATCATTCTGAAATGCTATCTCACCCCTGTTCACCTGCTCTGCTGGGACGCTGGGACGTCCCAGGCCAGGGAGCAGCTCGGAGGGATGGAGGGGCTGTGCCAGTCCCTGCCTGCTCCCTGCCAGATTCCTGGTCTCTTCCTGGTTCCCTCGGGCACTGAGCACCTGCTGCTCGGTGCCAGGCACAGACTCCCCGCCTTGGCCAGTGGGACCTGGGGAAGCCCACCATGGCACAGAGGAGGGCAGGGCTGCAGACCACTCCCGGACAGGTGGCCAGGCTGACCACCAGAGATAACCCTGGAGACAAGCAATGCACACAGAGGAAGGAGAGCTACCTGGCGCTGACCCCCACCCCAGGAGTCCCTGCTGAGCCGGCTGGTGGGTGGTGGCAGAAGGGGCAGCTCAGGGCCCTCCAGGTTCTCAGCGGGGACAGGCTCTTGTGCCCTGGGAGTTTTCCGCTCCGTGCCTTTACACCAAATGCCCCAACACAAAACATACTCTAGAATCACCTGCAAAACATTGGCAGGTTTGGCGGGGAGCCATGTGGCTCCCAGGGGGGACACTGTGGCTTGACAGAAACTCCTCTAAGCAGAACACAAGTTTTCCCAGAGCTAAGCTAAGCTGCACCCCGGAACTGCTGTCCATAAAGCCTCGGCTTAACTCAAGGGGCTGCCTGGGGTTTTCCAGGCAGGGGACCCGTGGACAAGAATCGTACCTTCCAGTGGGCTTCTGAGGACTGCATAAACTCTAATCCGTCCTTGATTTCTGCCTTCATCTCGTGAATGTGGGCAATGGTGTGCACCGACCACGCATCCGTGGGGTTGATAGACAAAGCCTACACAGGGAGGGCGTGAAAGATGATTAGAGAGTACGTGCATCTGTCAGGCCGCCCAGGGACCTGAGGCACCTCCAAGTGACACTGGGACAAGGGGCCCGCACTGGACGGGCACGCGTGGGGCTGGCACAAGTGTGGGCACCGGGCTCTGCCTCAGAACGACAATGATCCCCGAGTCCAGCCCCGCTGGGCGTCCGCGTGCTGTCACTAGTGAGGGTATCACTGCCCCCCTCAAAGCTGAGGGGGCGAGCTTGGGGAGGCTGGCCAACTGACGCAGGACCGCAGCTGGCTCTTTCCAAGGCCGGGACTCAGCCACAGGGCCCCATGGCCTCCCGCACGTGGCTGAGTCCCCTGCAACAGGCCAACCAGCCTCTCTGGGCCGGTCCCCCCTGGTGAGAAGCAACAGCACCGCAGAAGTGAAGTGCCCCAGAGGGTCCGAATGCTGAGCCCACCGCCTGCCCCCCCCCT